CATCTAAATCGATGTCTTTGAACAGCACAGCCGCAGTGATATGACGAGGTTTTGCTGTAGGAGTCAAAGTAGGTGCGATGACTTCGGTAACGGTATCATTGCTTCTCGGCGTGAGCGACTTCCTGTATGCCTTCCAGAACACATACCATGCAGTTCCGGAGAATCCTACAATATGATTAAATTTGAGGTGCCCTATAATCTCAAGGCAAGAGATTAATAGCACCCACCTATAGCCAAAAGAGCGACTGCCAAGTATACGAAATAAACGATAACTGCAGCAAAGAACCTTAATAAGGCTATCGAGAACAAAGCGAGAACTGAAAAAAAGAAAGTTCCTGGTCAAATTCTTAAACTTTCTCACAGACCACTTTTGCAATCAAGAAAGAAAAATTTGCACCTGGCTGCACCAACCTAATGCCACCAAACACATTTGGAGTAGAAAAGGAGAGGAATCAACCAAGTCATGGAGATATCCGCGAATCCAGTCTAGTTCAACCACCTCAAAACTCAAGTTTCTTGTAAAGCGGGATGATGGAACTTCTAAACTTAGCACACACCTTTTGAAGTAGATCTTTACCGAAAGTAATGAGATCTTCGGGGATGCAACGATTCATAATACTAATACTGTAAACAAGCTACTGGAGGAAAATGGAGATGTCTAACAACGAAATCCTCTGTACATATCATTTTAGATTTAACGTTTTAATGGTTTTAAGAAATGGCGAACCTTTTGAAAACCGGCAGTTTTGGACAAACACCAAATCGCGGTTTCTGCTTTGCAGCATCTACTGCCATATTGTAATCAACACAAAGGCTGTTATTTTCCTCAACAGCTAATTTTTTGATACCTAAAGTATGAGAGAGTGAGTACATTCGACAGTGTTATCTACACATCGGATATCAATTTCTAAATATAAAAAGGCGTTCTCAACTATGAGAATTTTGTTGATTGCGCTATGTTGTACTTTGCATTGAGAAGCATTACGCGAATTACTAGGGAGGAAACAGAATACAAGCTGCCCAACCAACCTGCATAACTTGTTACAGTATCCTCGGGACAACTTCGCACGCATGTCCACACAGTATCTAG